GCCAAAGTTTCAATATTTTATATGTATGCTTATTCCTAATAAATCAGATCATCATTACATAAAATGATAACACATGACAATATTTATATGTAGAATCATCTAACTGAACTGAAAATTAATGTATTTTAGATTATATTCCTAAATCCTTTGAATTCAATTTTGTTGGATGTATTAATTTATTATCATGTGAATATAATGAAGGTTGTCCTTATGAAAAACATTACGAAATTGAATGTGTAATCAATGGTGATTTTTTAAGATGAGAAGGATAAATTTCTAATATTTCTGGTTCATATTCATTTCTTAATAACATATCAAGATTTGGTTCTATTAATATATATACATTCATTACTTTTATCAATATCATATCCTACAATTGCACATAATTCAAACATAGATGTCGATTAATTATTTAAAATTATATAATTAATTACTTGAATGAGTATCCGTTGTGATTTTTTGTTATTAAATTATAATGAAATAAAGAAATTTGTATTATTATTGATAAATCTAAAATAGTATCTACATTTTTCATATCCCATTATCACATTTAATAAGATGTAAATTGATCAGTGAAGATGAACATATTGAAATTTAAGATAACCTATAGAAATATAATATAACTAATTCAAACCTATAACTTTATTACATTAGATATCATTAATAAGTAAACAATTAAATATTACAAACTAATATTTAGATTATATAAATTAAATATAATTAAGATGCTTCCATTAATTTTATCTATTATTCTATCAACTATATTGTTTTTATCATATCTCATATAAAGATTCAATATGATTTATACTATATTATATATATATATTCCATTTATTGTATTTAATGAATTTTTATATCTTTTATAACATCATTGAAGTAATACTTATACGAATCAAAAATAAATTATATATATATCATATTATTTAAAATAAAAAATGGCTATCAGAAACAGATTGTTCTAGGCATTTAATACCGTCCATAGGTATATTACTTAGAAAATATTAGAATTTTTAACGTCGAGGCCAAATTCTTACCATACACCTGCACAACTAGAAATGAAGCCTTAGTAAATAATCATACCAAACATCAAACCTATTTACAGTAATATTTTTTGTCAGGATTAGCTTTTCTAAAAAAGATTAGAATCTCTAAAATATCACTAGATCCACATTAGATGAATTCTAAAAAATGGAATTTAATGTCATTACTTAATTTTAGAGAAAAGGACTAAGTATAATTACATATGTTATAATAGATGATCAACATGTGGACCCACATTAAATCATATACTAGTTGGATAGAATTGAAGTGTTAAGAAAATTAAAGTAGATATTTTTATTAACTTCTAGAGTCTTGGAATAGAATGCAGGATCATTTCCAAAAGATGAAGCTCAATGCTTAAAACTAATTGCTAAAGTCCATCTAGAAGAACCTAAGTAAAGCAAAATTATAATCATTAGCGCTTAAGAAAACTTAGATAAATTTATTGAGGCTAATCCACAATGTAGAAGATTGTTATACCTTGGATAAATTTGAGCATGATCAATTATTACAAATAAACAACAAAAACATAAAATAATATATGTAAATACATTTTCTTTCAAATCTATAAGGTCATTTTAAAATGCAAAATTATGCAAATAATAATTTTATTTAATTAATAATAACATTTATCTTACATCATAAAAAGATTTCTAAGAAATAATGTTATTTTTTAAAATAAATATATAAATTTTATATTTGTTAGATTCATTCTCAATATAGATTGTTCTTGTTGTACTATCGAAGATTAGATTATTGTTCATATGTCGCATCACATTTTTTTTTGTAATTTATTTTTGCTGAAACTAATAATTATTATCTGCATAACTACTTCCAATTTTTTAATTATTAATGTCTTTCACCATTTGCAAAATATCTAAAGTGGATTAAAATGTACCTTTCTTTTTTTGATAATTTGAATATTCATATTTATTCTAATATTTTGCTTTATCTGTGCTTAATTTATGAGACTCTTCAGATTTTATTGTTTCTGATTCTTTCCTTGAATTTGAATAAGGTTTTAATGAAAATAATCTAAATATATAAATAATATATTACTATCTAGTTTTAAATTAAATATCTTCATTGATATGAGGAGAATATTGTCTACAATAAGCATCTTTATGTCTAGACTTTTTAATATCACCTCCTGAAAAAAGTAAACTAGCATATGATTTTTATTTATCAGAAATATTATTTAATTTTGAATCTAAGGTCTCTTTAAATTTTTAGGTAGCATGAATATATTTATTTGGTGAATTAGGAACACCTTTTTTCATCATATTTTATAATATATTTGAATAATTGGTAGGATCTTATCTTATAATATTTAATTCACCTACAGATGTTGAATTTTTTGTACTTCTAAATAAAATAATAATTTCATACTGTATTTTTCTAATCTATTATAAATTATCTTCCTTAAAATACCCATTTTTTGTTTAATGTAAAGTCAAATTTTTGTGAATTGAATTAGATACTTCATTTTTGTTGGCTTAAGGTGTTATCATATTTGAACTAAGATTTTGTTTAGTAGAAGAAATACAAGTTCATATTTTTATTCTAATCTAATTATGAGTGATTTGCACTTAGATTTAAGAATGATTGTTTCTATTACATTATCACACTTGCTTTAATGGTTTCTTTTTTATTTTAAACTTAAGTAGGTTATTGAATCTCCATTCCTAAATATTATTGAACTTAATTGATGGATGGTTTATCCTGATTATTGATTTAATTACCATTATTTAAATGAAGAATAGATTAAGTTTCAAGCATTTCAACCTATTAATGTAAAGTTATTTTTACATTGTTTTATAATTTAATTATTTCATAATGCAATTTAGCATTTTAAGTTGATTTAAAATTTAGTTTTTCTATTAAATATTATATTTTTTCTTTATCATTTAAATTATTATGATGACTACATCTTAATTATTCTCTATCCTATTTTTCAATATTTTAATTATCAATTTATGAAATAAGATTTGTTAATTTTTGATTTTATTGTTTTAATTGTATTTATTCTGCCTACTCTATTTCTAATTTATTTTATAATTCTTAGATAAGAGCATTTAATTCAATTATTTCAAGTTAATACTAATTTTTAATCCTATCTTTATCATTTTGTAATTAAAATATTTATGATTTTAATTCTAAATCATTCATTTAATTTTATTTTAATTATTATTTTATCATTGTTTATTCATATGAACTAGTAATATTATGTTCAACATCAGGAATTGCAATTTATATTTATTTTTTTACTTTTTCATAAATAATTATATTTACATCCTGATAAAGAAGATCCTTTCTATGAAAAACTTTACTTAACACAATCCTTATTTTTAGGTGCAGGAGGTTCTTAAATCAATTTAGTATTAATATTTGATAAGTTATCCTATTAAATTTGAATATTGTCAGATTTATCTGTATTTCCATTATTTTATGTATAATACTCATCAAAAATAATTTTTTAAACCTTTTAATTTTGATTGTCTACATCTGAATAAAAAATAACTATAATATATATACTGATTGATAAATGTTTAGGTTTGGAACTGTTAAATTAATCATTTTAATATTATTCAATATTTGATGATTTTGATTGATTCAATTGATCAAGTTCTTTTGTTTGTTATATTTGTTGATATTGATTGAAAATATCATCAAATTAATTAATTTCTTAAGCCTTATTAATCATATTGTTTTACCTCTGGAAGTATCTCTTTTTAATGTTACTGACTTTCCAGATAGTCCAGTGTTAATCCTAATGGCTTTTTTGTTTTAAATTTAGGTTAGTTAATTTTCATTAGCTAAAAGAGTTTGCCTTATTTTAAAAATAAGTTAAATAAATGTTTAATAAGAAAGACTTTAATACAAAAATAGAAATCAATTACAATATCCACAATTATACTCTTTATCGTCATAACATCCTTCTATTAAGTTCACACATTCGAAGTGGTACCATTTCTAACATTTATCACACTAAAAAAATAAAATTTAAAATTTACTTGAATGTAGTTAAGCTCAGGATTCCATGGTTATTGACATAGACAATATAATTAGATTTCATTCATATTAGTAAATTTTTTATTTTCTACATCCCATTCAAGTCTATTATAATATGTGGTCAAATCACTGTTTTCGAGATTGACAAATTCATCACAATCTACTATTTTACACTTCTGAATTATGGTTTAAGCAAGAATAAAATCGTTTTTTTTCGTTGAAAATATCTCTTGAGTTCCAATCCAGCATCTAGCTCTTGGCTTATGTATGAGTATTTCACTCTTTTTCATGAACCATTAAACTTAACACATACAAATCAACTTGTTTGTCTATGGTTCTAAAACAGAACAAATTTTCTATATTGTTCCAACATAATCTTCAACATTATGATCACCATTTTTTATTATAACATTATCATTGATTTTTAGTATACTTCCTTGAATCTTTATTTCATCATACTCTTCATAAATCTCTTCATTGTTTTCTTAAGCTTTTTTTACTATTTCAGCTAGTTTGTTCTATTTATATAAAGATTTAAATGTGGTTTCTTTAAGACTCTTTTCAGTTCTCTTTTAGATTCTTTTACGTATAGGTGGTAATGTTTCTGAAGATTACCTATTGAATTTTGATGGAGATTCATTATTAACATTTGTCCAGTGCATTACACTCATTTTTTTTATTTTAATTGAAAATTCTAATTATCATTTACGTAATAAATTGCCTCAAACTTGTTTACTACCATTAACATCGCTTTAAAATTTTATTGAAACAAAAAAAGCTCTGTCTTTTTTCTTTTACTAATTTTCAATTAACCTCAATTTCTAATTTGAAAAATTGAATTAATATTTTATAAATTTATACAAAATCATACATATGATAATGGATTGATTATCAATCTTTATAATTATAATATTAAATTAAAACATTGTTTGTTATAACCATATTATTCATAAATTATTCATAAATTATTCTTTATTTTATTCTATAATTTTTAAAATATCTTCTCTTGTTCCATTAGGATTCATAGCTTACCAAATTAATATATTTTATTTCACATCTTTTATTTATTTTGCTTCTACTTTCCAAATTTATTTTATTTCATTACCCTAATTATATAAATGAATTATATACATCTATAAATGCTTTTGCATTATAAAATTCTTATAAATTTTATGAATAGATGAATTTTATAAAATTCTCATTCAATTAAAATGTTGCCTCTTAATCATTTATACATTCTTATAGATAATCCAAATAAACTATTATTTCCCATAATTATTTAGCATCTTATAAAAAGTTAACTATTATATAAATAATTAATATACCCAATCTTCTGTAATTGTTTTTTAAATCCTCTTTTTTTAACTAATTGAATTATTCTACTAATCTACAAATATTATAAATTTCATCTGTTTATTTTCTTGGCATCTTAAAAATATATATTATATCATACTTTTAAGGATTCTGCTATTATATAGATTATAGCACTTTCTAAATTCTTTCCTTTTTTATAATTTATAGTCTAATAAGGCAAACAAATGCTACTTAAATGAAGATATAAATTTAATTATTCCTAACTTTCAAAACCATGAATTTTTTAGAAATTAGGTAAATATTGTAAATTTTATAAAGTTTATAGATATTTAAATGAATCTAAATGATATTTTCCTTAATTTTCAACTTTAACATTACATTAATGTTAATTTTCTTTTGGCAATTCAAAAATTATATGCCAAAATCCAAGTTAATGATAATTTTTTAAACCTTAATAACATTTTGAAGATTTTAACATCCAATCAATTTCAATACCTATTCTTTCTCTACTCACTTTAGTTTATAATGCAGTTTTGATATCTTATTATTAAATTGCATTAATAATTTCTTCAACAATTTAAAAATTAAATCTAGTAGCAAATCTAAATGTACGAAGTATTCTTAAAGGATCATCCCTAAATGTTATATAAGGATCTAATGGAGTTCTAATAATTCCATTTTAAAGATCTTGTAATCCCATATTTGTAAAATCCTCTATTTCTTGTGTATTTAAATTATAAAACATAGAATTTATAGTTAAATCTCTTCTAAAAGCATCTTATTCTGGAGTACCTACTATAATTTAAGGTGTTCTTGATTATTCTGTATATGTCTCACCTCTTAAATTAACAAAATCAATAGATTGATCAAATATTTTAATACAAGCTGTTTCTAAATGCTTTGATTATTCAGGGTTTAATTTAGTTACTCCAAAACCACTAACCTTAATATTTTTAGATTCAAAGTATTCTTTCATTTTAATTACAAACTATTCACCACTCATATTATCAATAGTGATATCAATATCATGAGATTCATTTCCCATTAATTTATCTCTTACCCATCCACCTGCTACTCTCAAAATTGATTATGTATTTGTTTCATCTCTAAATTACATAATAGTGTTGAAAATTTAATTCTCTTTATCTGTTATTTTGATTCTTTTTACTACTTAAGATTGTTACATGTATATCAGATTATTTAATTACTTTTTAAAAAAGAATTTTAACATTTAATTCTTTAATTAGAAATAGTATTAAGTATGATTTCTATTAAAAATGAATTCATTCTTTTAGAGATTTTAAACATCATTCCTATTATATAATCATAAATTATATTTATGATGATATAATTTCAATATTCTAATAATATGATTTTATTAATTCGCATTCTTTCTGCTATATAGAGTATTATATACAAATATTAATTAATGAACAGAGAGAATTAATTCAAGATTGTACTTCTTGGAGATCAAGGTAATTACATAAATAACTCTAAAAAGGAGTAGGCAAAACATCTATTTCTAATGTTTATGTGAAGAAAGAATTTAATTCTTATGAAAATGCCACATCAGGTGCCAATTATCACTCCCAAACTTGTAAAATTGATAATCATCAAATCAACTTTGCTGTAACTCTACAATATTAATGATAGATTTGGGATACAGCTGGATAGGAGAAATTTAAATCTCTGGCAAGATTATATTACAGAGATTCTAATGCAGCCCTTTTGGTTTATGATGTCACAAACTATAAATCTTTCTAAAGAGTAACAGATTGGATTAATGAATTAAATGAAAATAGCGAAACTGCATGTATTATTATCTATTAATTTAAGTAAAATTTATAGTTGGCAATAAAATAGATCAAGTAGACAAAGAAGAGGTGAGTTATGATGTAGCAAAATAATTAGCTGAAGTAATCATATTTCATCACATCTACTTTAGAATTACGGATGTTTTTTGCGACTAGTTTCTGCTAAGGAAAAGAATGGCATTTTTGAATTATTTGAATCAGTTGGTAGAGAGCTATTAAAAAATGAATAAGACAATTAGAGTCCAATGACTAATTAGCCTGCACAGACTACTAATAAACCATTGGTTTAATAAATGCCATAAGCTTAACAATAAGACAAATGTTGTTGAATATCATCCATAATCACTCAAATCTACATTATTAATTCCATTCAAAGTCCTATTATTCTAATTAATTATCATATTAAATAGAATAGTACTTCTAAATAAATAAATCTAACTTTAGCATTCTTTTTAATATATATTTAATTTTGATTGATTCATTAATTATTTTTAGAAGGTTCTATCATTTTGCATTACTCTTTCTAATACTTCAAAGATATGTAAAAATCCAAATGAAGATTTAATAACAATAAAATAATTTTATGAAGGACTATTTATATTTATTAATTTTGAGAATTTGATAATTAAAGGATGTTTTTAAATTTAAATGAGTTTCGTTGATTAAAAAATATATATACTCTTTAATATATGATGATATATTATATATATTGATCATATACAAAATATTGACATGTGCTTTTGAGTTAAGAAATTTGTTTTCTATTTCATCTCTACTTTAAAAAAATGCATCCTTATCATAAATAGATTTGATGTTACTACTATACCGAATCCATTAATTAAAAATTACTAATATGCGAATACTGATTATAAATTCTATTTAATCTTTGTAAATTAGTCTCATCATAAGAATTATGATATGAATCTCTGTGTATTTATTTCAAAGTTAAGACTATTAACAAGGCTATTAAATGGTATAATCTAAAATACCTTAAATACCGATTTAATATCTTTAAAAGTCTTTTAAGAATTATGCATGAAAATTAAAATTGAAATAATATATCATTTTTTATGTTTATCTAAAGTAGTTTGCCATAGCAATATTCCCTAATTATAAGATTATACTTAATTAATTTAATTCCTTTAAGTTGAAGATAGAAAAACTATCTACATATATTTATCATTGATTTTGCATCTCACTCATTGGATTCATTTAATCTTAATATAATATTGTAATATATACTTATAATTTAAGCATTCTAAATTGAAATAATCTAATTAGAATACTTTCTATNGAGAGCTATTAAAAAATGAATAAGACAATTAGAGTCCAATGACTAATTAGCCTGCACAGACTACTAATAAACCATTGGTTTAATAAATGCCATAAGCTTAACAATAAGACAAATGTTGTTGAATATCATCCATAATCACTCAAATCTACATTATTAATTCCATTCAAAGTCCTATTATTCTAATTAATTATCATATTAAATAGAATAGTACTTCTAAATAAATAAATCTAACTTTAGCATTCTTTTTAATATATATTTAATTTTGATTGATTCATTAATTATTTTTAGAAGGTTCTATCATTTTGCATTACTCTTTCTAATACTTCAAAGATATGTAAAAATCCAAATGAAGATTTAATAACAATAAAATAATTTTATGAAGGACTATTTATATTTATTAATTTTGAGAATTTGATAATTAAAGGATGTTTTTAAATTTAAATGAGTTTCGTTGATTAAAAAATATATATACTCTTTAATATATGATGATATATTATATATATTGATCATATACAAAATATTGACATGTGCTTTTGAGTTAAGAAATTTGTTTTCTATTTCATCTCTACTTTAAAAAAATGCATCCTTATCATAAATAGATTTGATGTTACTACTATACCGAATCCATTAATTAAAAATTACTAATATGCGAATACTGATTATAAATTCTATTTAATCTTTGTAAATTAGTCTCATCATAAGAATTATGATATGAATCTCTGTGTATTTATTTCAAAGTTAAGACTATTAACAAGGCTATTAAATGGTATAATCTAAAATACCTTAAATACCGATTTAATATCTTTAAAAGTCTTTTAAGAATTATGCATGAAAATTAAAATTGAAATAATATATCATTTTTTATGTTTATCTAAAGTAGTTTGCCATAGCAATATTCCCTAATTATAAGATTATACTTAATTAATTTAATTCCTTTAAGTTGAAGATAGAAAAACTATCTACATATATTTATCATTGATTTTGCATCTCACTCATTGGATTCATTTAATCTTAATATAATATTGTAATATATACTTATAATTTAAGCATTCTAAATTGAAATAATCTAATTAGAATACTTTCTATAAACAAATTGAAAAGTATTTAGACTATATCTTGTTACATAAATGATTAAATAAATATAAAGTTATTCATTTTAACCTAAAGATTTAACTCCTGTTAACATTAGCAATTCGTCTTTATATAAAGTATAAAATTATAAATAGATTTCTTAACTTACAATAATGATATTTGTAATTTCGATTGGATTATTAAATCAACCAAATTATTAAAGCAAATCTTTCTTTAATCTGAATTATTTAAGAATCATTTCCATAAAAGGAGAAAGAATATTTTTAAAGTGTTTTAGCTGACAATTTAAACTGGATCCAAATATGTAGAGAATTTCCATACTAATTTTATCCATTTTAGTTGTTTAAAATTGTCAATTTATTTATTTAATAATATTTTCTAATAATTTTGAATCTACTCTACAAAAATCAATAAAATTTCTTGATTCTGCTACTTAGTATAAATTTTAATTGATTGTAAAAATTAGTATGATAATTAAATTATATTTATCAAATTATTATAATTATTTAATTTATGTAAAATCATAAAATATAGTTATCCTCAAAAAATAACACATTAATCTTCATACTTTTATTCTCCACTATTAATACTCATAAATTTATTTTACATTTTTTTAAATCCTTCATGTTTCATCCACTTATTTCTTTCCAATTCCTCCCATTTACCATATTTTTTACCAATATGATAATTACCATGATAAATAACTTAATTTAAACTAATGATTTTGAATATATATATTAATATAATACTTCCAAAATTTTTCACTTAATTCTGTCCACTTACCATTTTTTATACCATGATCATCATAATTTCCACCACCGCTTAGTTATATTTTATTTAATTTTACATTTATTCAAATTATTAATCTGAATTATATCTATAATTAGTATTCCATTTACCAATTTTAATCCCCTTTTTATAAATACCATTATAAGTAACTTAGCAATCGCTTAAGAATATTTATAATTTAATACCAAAAAAAATTATCATTCTATTCTTCCCAATAACCATTCTTATAAAAATTTTCTAGATATGAACCTCCCCCGCTAATTATCAATATCACATATATATATACATTATTTCATTATGATAATTGATGTCCCATTTACCAAGTTTATTGCCATTTTAATATTGACCATGATAAGTGACTTAACTTAGGCTAGTTATTTTTAATGAAAAAATAAAATTATTATTTACCTCCAAAAATTATCACTCAATTCAATCCATTATCCGTTTTTTTTACCATTTTCTAGGTACAAACCGCCACCACTATTGTAGAAATTATTAAAAATGAAAAATACATTTCTGTTGTTGATAAAATATACTTCCATATACCATTTCTCTCATCATTTACATATTCTCCAAATTCATAAACTTAAGCTTCACTATTAAAATTATTAATTATTTAATACTCACAATAATTTGGTATTAATTCTTTCCATTTCCCTTACTTCTTACCATCATCAGAATATAATCCTCCAACACCATATAGAGATTGACCCTTCCATGTTACTATCCACTTTCCAACTTTTTTATGATTGCTTCCATACTCTCCTACCCATTATAGATGCTTTATTTAATCTAAATTCCTTAATAACTCTGGCTTTTTATTAGAAACTTCTATTATTTACTCACTAAAATATATATTACAATAATCTAAGTCTTACATTCTTTGACTCATCCCATAAGATGAGTAAATAATTTCTTTATTTTTTGTTTTTGTAACAGTAAATTTAGCCTTCACTGCTATCAAGTCATTGTTTGGAGTTTTAGTATATTGCTAACATTCATACTCTTTGATACCCTCCTACCAATAATAATCATCTGTTAATTCTATTTTTTCTATTCTAAATAATTCTGAATAATAATTATACTTTACTATGGATTCTACATCTTTTATTAAATCTCGATTAAATTTTCCAACAAAATTACTCATTTCAATATCTAACCATTATCTAACTTTGTTTAATTAAGATAAATATTATTCCTTTTAACTATTCCAATTTTCTAATGTTTTCTCCTTTAATATTTAAACTAATTTATTAATTTCAATATAAGATAATTCTAAAGGATTAGTGAATTGGCTTAAAAGATTATGATAATATTAATCTTCTTATTCTACCATATCAAATATTTTATTAATCGATTAAGTTAGATTTTGGTACATGTTTTTTATCATCTCTTCAGATTATACAAGTAGAGACTTGAAGTTTAAATGAAGTGAAGTGTAATTTTATTAAGAAATCTGAGTAATTAAATTAAATTTTTCAACTCTTTTCTTTAATTTATCTTGGAACTTATGAATTGAAAGTATTTATTTTGAGTCAACACCATGCTCATGTTAACATTCTGAACAAAGTTTTCTTTAGCAGTAATGTTGAGCTACGCATATCAAATTAAATGGTTATTAATGATGTTCTGTGCAAAAATGCATTTTATTTTAAATAATAACCAAATTTATCCTATTGATTGTTAATACTCTAAGTATTATCATTAGCTATTTATTTGAATATTAGATAAATTTGAATTCATTTAAATACACTTTTCAGTCTTTATTTTTAGTAACTAATTATCTATTTCTATTTTCCTAAATAGACTATGCCCTCTCATCTATTTAATATATTTAAACAATATTATATAATTTAATAGATTTACTTGCTTTCTTTATAGAAGAATTTCAGATGTATCTAAATTGTCAAAAATATAATTTCAATTCAAAAAGATAATTAAACAGCTATAGTATTTTTCAAAGTCGACTTCATATAAATTATTTTAATTGCTTAAAGGTGTCATTAAGTCTTAGAAAATTTAATTTAATAATGAAATTTTGAAATATTATCAATTATTAAAGATATTGCTAAAGTAAACTACATTTGTTACAATAATATATAAATTAATTGTATCCTCAAAATAAATTAATAAGATTTTCATAAAATTATTATAATTATTATTGCATTTTTAATATCAATTTTACTATTTGAGTTAATATTTCTAATTTTAATTTATAAATTTTTCTTTTAATGAGGATCTATAATTTTATAATTTATTATCTATTTTAAAATGAATCAAAAGATAAAATTTCATCAAATTTCAATCTCATAACATAAACATTAAACTAATTTATTAAATTAATCTAAATAGAATAATTACTTTTGATATGCATAATAATTTAGGATCATTAAGGCTATCTTTGTAAAATTAATAATATTGCTAAAGAGTATATTTACTTATTAAATAGTTCTATTTTCTGATTATTTTTAATTTATGAATTAACAAAAGAATAATTATGCTTAAAGTTAAATTTAGTTCGTAAAAATTGCATTCAAAAAATAGCGAGAATGGTGTAAAGCTATTGCTATTAATGATGATTGCTCTCTACTTTTCATTGGATTTAAATCATCAATAAAAGTTTTTGGATTCGATTAGGAATATCTAAAGCAAATAGTAATTTTAAATCATCATACTAATTATATAACTGACTTGAAAATATGTAAATCTAAATAGAATTAATTTCTCATATCAGCATCAGATGATAAAACAATCATAATCTGGACATAATTAGGTTCATCATTATAAAATCCTTCTTGGAGTTGTTATTAGAGATTATATGGACATGAGAATACGATCAATTGCTTAGTAGTTTTGGAAAACACAGAATACATCATCTCAGGTAGTTCAGATTGTTCAATCAAATTTTGGAGTAATTCCACTTAAACTTCTAAAAAATAATGGTCTTGCTCTTAAACCATTCACAATCATACATCTGAGATTTGGGCATTATCAATTAATTAATCTGAAGATACTTTAATATCAAGTGGGGAAGATATGATAATATTAGTTATAGAATAAAATTCATAAATTTGGATTGTGAAATAGAAGATTCAAGTTTAAAAATTAGGTTATAGAATTTGTTTCATAGGGAACAATCTTTTCTGTTTTCAACCTATGCGTGAAAATTTATTGCATGTATATGAAAAAGATAAAAACCAAAAATTTATTTAGAAAAAATAAATCAAAGTAGAAGGTGGTGAGTATTATTGT